GAATTTACAACAAATATGAAGACAGACACAAGATTTGAATTTCTACTGGTGTTGTCTTATTTTAACCAAATCCAATCAAAGTTCTTACTGTGTTGATCCACAGACTGGCAGTACTGTCCATCAGGAGGAATCGTACTGATGCATCCACATGTGTTATCAGTGATGTTGTCACAGGATCCGTACTTTAGACACTGGTCACATGACCAGCGATACTGATCCTCACATCTGCACTGGAATCCATCGTTGGTCGGAGAGCAAACTGGAAACAGAAGCGGAAAACATCTACCATCACTGGAAGCAAAATATTATAGAAAAAAGTAACATACTCAGCTTATAATTATTTTTTATATTGAACTCTGAGAGAGAATTCACACAGCTTCACTAACAAGATCAATGTGGTAACACTGAATGTAAATCTGTACTAGGAACATATTTCTCTTGCATATTTGCTTGCTGGGTGAAGCAATAAGTGCGACACAAAAAAATGATAAAATGTTTAAATTGTAATTATTACTCTGTAGTGGCAACGTATTGAAGCCTTTTTACTCATGTGTGCTTCACATTACATCGAAAATTTTGCAACAACAGGCAACTACGAAGAAAAAAACCACTACACTAAAGCTTTTATATGTTAAAAGTCGTCTGAAAGAAGTTGAAAATCATGTCTCAAGCCAAACGCGCAAAAAAGTCTAAAGTCCTTTTCCCTCCATTTTTTTCCCCTTCTTGCAAACACTAATCAGTTGATTATGGAACTAACTGATCATGAGATAGATTAAAGTCTTTAAAAGTAAACTGAAGACCTAGATGCTTCTCTTCAGAACTGTTGGAGACCTAAACAAAGCTAAAAAAAGAAAAAAAGAAAAAAAAGGTGGACCCAACAAAAGGCTCGCAGTGTGCTGTTTGCTTATTTGTTGTTGTTTTTAACTACTGATACGAGGTGAGTGTGTAGCTTGTTTGTTCACTTTTTCTACCTGCCTATAGTGACAAAATTTAATCAATAAAGCTTTAAGCTGCCAATTCTGTGACTAGACCAAAGTGTCACTAATGACGTGGAGTTCCACAATCATTAACCAAGAATTTTTATATTTATTAATTACAAAAATAATGTTCTAAAGAGGGCTGCAAGGTGGTGCAGTTGGTTAGCACCATTGCCTCGCATCAAGAAGGTTGCCGGTTCGCATCCCGGTGCGTGGAGTTTGCATGTTCTCCCCGTGCAGCGTGGGTTCTCTCCGGGTTCTCCGGCTTCCTCCAACACAGTTCAAAAACATGTTGAGGTTAATTGGTGATTCTAAATTGTCTGTAGGTGTGAATGTGAGTGTGCTTGGTTGTCTGTCTCCAAGTGTAGCCCTGGGATGGACTGGTGACCTGTCCAGGGTGTCCCCTGCCTTCACCCTAAGTCGGCTGGGATAGACTCCAGCCCCCCACGACCCTAATGAGGATTAAGCGGTGTATAGATAATGGATGGATGAATGTTCTAAAGAAACTGAATGTATTGTGCTTTATCCATACAGGATGCTGACCTCACTGGGTGGCACACTGACGAACTAAGAACAGGAAACAGCAAACGCAGCCAGCAGAAGAAGTCGTCTGACGCATCTGCCTCCTATTTATTAGACACATGACTGAGAACTATGAATGCAATTAATAATGAAACTACTATATTAATCATTGATATATTGTTTGCAGTGTTCCTTGTTGAACTATAACTAGTGTGTGTGTGCAGAGGCCTTACAAATGCCCGACTGTTTGAGTAGGAACTTGGTGATGAACAGATACAGCTCACAAATGCTCTCAGTTGTTTTAACGTTTTACCTTCAGCTCTTGATTTGGCAACAATTTCTACACCAAAGGTTTTTTTTGTTGTTGTTGTTTTTTAAAGCATTGTTCTGGTTGTACAGACTGTAGATTGTTAAAAAAAAAATGAAGTGTCTGAATATCTTCTGAAGCAACTGTACATAGGAAATTATAACAATATTTCCATTTTACCTCATGTTATACAGTATTTCTGCTTCACTATGTGTATTTTTTAAAATAACGTGAACTTGTCTTATAATCACAACATGATTATTCTACTTGTTCCCAACAATTACACCCATTACAACAAATCAGATGTCATCTCCAGCTGATCCCATTTACACAACATGTTGAGGCCCAGGAGGTCAAAGTGGCCAATATTTGGTGCAGGACTTGTTTTTCTTCCCTAATACAGTGAATTTTCTGCACATTTAGAAGTTTATCATTTTACTTTAGAGTGCCTACTAGAACATGTCTACATGCTTTATTGTTAAAATCACATTATTTGTCCTCTACTGTACATTACGAGGCATTTCAGGCAGATAACAGCAGTGATTCTTGGGGAAAAACTCTCTTTGCTGTGCACTTGGATTTGGAAGTTTGCTGACTTTTTACATGCACAAAAAATCATCGATGTAAAGGAAAAGGAAAAACTCTGAAAGCACAATACAGGCTCTTAAACAACCTCAAAAGCCCTCAGTTGAAGATCTGCTACTTCTGAAGCCACCTGACCAAATCGGTTAAATGCATATAAAGTAATTAAAAGTAGCACCACCTCAACCTGCTGCTACAGCAAAACATAGTTGCCTCAGTAACTTGTAATATAAGAGCAAAAAAATAAAGAGACATTGTCATTACGTTTGCGTAAAAAAGAGACTTATTTGTTCACTGCATAGAAACAAATCAGCTTCTCTGGTTCTTGCTGTTGTAAGCAATTTGCTTCATTTTCTTATTTTGTCTAAGGACAGCCCAGAAAACAGAACCCCAGCAACTCAAAGTACCCTCATCAGACCAGTCTCAGAACAGCTAGAAGACCACCACATGATGCCCTGAGATGTCAGAACAGTTTGTATTCATAGAGCAGGTCGAAACTCTTCATAGATTATTAACAGAAGTTTTGAATTGTTTTTCACTGTGGAGCTGATTTTCTATGAGTTTGTGGTTTCACTTTTATTTCATGTCATAAGGACGTATGCACAGGAGACAGTGGTTCAATACGTGGAGCAGCGTCATATTATTCCACTGAAAAACATGTAGCTGCCTTTCTTCCTGCGCTGCGAGATGTGCTGCAGTGCACAAGAAAAAGCAGGAATAAAGACTGCAAGCTGGTCGCGGGGGGGCTGGAGCCTATCCCAGCTGTCTCAAAGGCAGGGGACAACCTGGACAGGTCACCAGTCTATCACAGGGCTACACTTAGAGACAGACAACCAAACACACTCACATTCACACCTACGGACAATTTAAAATCACCAATTAACCTCAACATGTTCCTGGACTATGGGAGGAAGCTGGAGAACCCGGAGAGAACCCACGCTGCACGGGGAGAACATGCAAACTCCACACAGAAAGATTCCGGGTATCCTCACTGGGACGCAAACCGACGACCTTCTTGCTGCGAGGCAACAGTGCTAACCACCGCTCCACCTTGCAGCCCTCCATACAAACAATACCACATTTAAATGAATATATATATATTAATTAAAATCCATTTACAGTTCTGAGAAAAGAAATGCACTTGACACATTTGAGTAATTCTGAATGCTGTTGACAAGAACACTTCCAAGACCTCCAAGGACAAACTCTGTGGACCAAACTCTTTTAGTTGAAGATTGATTTGTAGTTATTAATCATAAATGGATCTAAGCAGGAAGAGTCCCAGTTTAACGGCAGCCGTCCATAATCTTTGGTTTAATCTGTAAAGACAATTGAAGGCGTGTCGAGCGCTGTGCGTGACTTTAATCGCAGTATCACTTCCTCCACTGATCTGATCTGCATAATGTGGGCGAGGAACTGCAAAGTCAACACTTGATAGAGCACCGATGTCATAGAAATGGCAAACCAAAGGCATTCTTGTAAATGACAGTTTTATTATCTATCATTTCTTTTCGTATTTTTTTATTTGAAAGTAGCTAACGTCACATCTGAATGCCAAGGTTGTCTGTATGACAACCTTCACTATTGTTGGCGCTCACATTAGCAGCCAGAAGCAGAAGAAGCTCATTTCTTACCTGTAGTCAAGTTAACGTGTGTGACGTTCACGTTGGGGCCCAAAGCCAGAGAATAGCTGCCATTGATCAGTAGCCTCCTGAGGTGCTCCACTGTCTCCATATCTGTGACATTAAGCTCCACTTCAACTTCATACTCGACCTGAGTCAGCAGCTCTGCAGGAGAATGACAACGCTGTTAGGGGTTGATTTCTTTGGGGGTTTTTTTTTTTTTAAACTGAAGATATCACTGACTGTGTTTAAGGCAAAACGTGGAAGGAATAATGGCCCTTAGAGGACTGAACTAAAATTCATGAGGGCCTCAATGGTGAAGCTGTATAATCTTCAAAAGAAAATATGTACTTCATAAGTATGTGGACACGTGCAACAGTACGGCCCAATGTCTTTAAAAGGGGCACAAAACGTTCACTGGCTTATGAATTTTGTCAGAAATTCATAGGATCTTAATGAAAACTAGGTTTAATTTCCAGTGGATGTTTGTGATCGGCATGTTATTGAACATTTCGTCTTAAACCTGTGAAGTATTTTCATCTTTTTTCGCTCCAGAAGCAACACTTTGTCTGGTTTGGTGTCCCAACCAATTGGTAGAGTCCAGTATATCAATGTAAACATATACCTTGATACCTAAATCATGTTGGCATTATTTGGGCAGAAACAAGCTATAGGTACAAAACTAACTGCATGGCAATATAACTCTACATTACTTGTTAGCAAAGAATTGCCCATTATCATTCCATTGATGAACCACATGATAAATACTCACAAGTTTTTGGACTCTACCAACTCGTAAGAAACTCACTACTGGGCAGGTAGTGGGTTTATTAACTGTATTTAGCATCCACATGTAAATACTGAAATAGGTGAGGGCAATGGGAGTAGTAAAAGTTAAAGTTGTGGTCATGGAAATCATAACAATGAACTGATGGACTTTATTATGCTCTGTTGAGTGAAGCCAAAGCAGAACGTGGAGGGATATTTGTCAGTTTCAGTCTACTATAGAGGATTGCAAGGGGATCCTGCAGGACCCAACATAAACCTAACTAATTTATCAGGTGGTCAGAAAAAACTGCAGGTACCTGGATTTATCGCAACCACAAGGATGGAGTCATTAAACGGAGTTGAAAAGAAGAATAAAACAGGTTCTTACAAAAGCTTTTGACTTTGTTGCAACAAGGTGTTGATACAGAGCCAGCACAAATATGACAGTGTCTTTGTTCTTCCAGGACAAAGTAAACTTTCTTTCAAAGTTAAAGCATTTTTTCTTGCTCGTATTAAACAAAATACGACCAGAGGAAAGTGTGAAATGTGTATTTAAGTCACCAGAATATAAATTCTTATGAATGGATTATTTAATCTCAAATCATCAGAGGTCTTCTGCTCTCTGATTTACTTGGAGCTTTTTTATTTTAAACTATGCATATTTAAAACTATATCTGTGACATTTTAGACTGATAAATCAAATGTTTTTCAAGATTTGTCCATCAACCCATTGTTAGCACATTTTCTTTTTGCAAATATTTGACTGACAATCTCTCAGAAACTCTTAAAGATAGAAGCCTGAAAACTTCACTGTTGTTTCTCATAAGATCATTGATTCAGAGTCTGCTCTCACTGGACAAGTTGGTCAAATAATCCATGATTGTGGGTGAGTTGGAAGATGCATAAAAATTTAAGCCGTCATGGAAATTCAAGTCAGAGATGGTCGAAAAGGAATTGTTCCAAAAATTTCAGATGGAACGAACCTGACTGCAATTGCAATTTGGTCTAATTACATACATGTATGCATCTCTGTATTAATACTACACAGTAAAATAACACGTTTTCTCTACAGGATGGAGGAAGAAAAAACATCAGCAGAATTTCCTATTGTGCAGATGTGAATGTTTTCAGGTAGGAGCTGGCGATTATGATCAGAAAACCGGTGGGAGACTTGACAAACAATGGTAATTATTACCTATGGCAAGAAACATATGCTTTTGTATTCACTGTGAACGCATTCAATAGAGAAATTACAGCCTGACTACCTGATATCAGCTGGCAGGACTGGCCATCAGGTGGAATAGCATTGATGCATTTACAGACACCGTTGGATATGTCATCACAGGCTCCATATGTAACACAGCTGTTGTACGACCAAGCAAACTGCTCCTCGCATCGACACTTGAAGCCGGAGCTGGTTGAGAAACATACTGTAAGAAGAGAAGATGTGTGTTCACAAACAAGTAACGTGGGCATTAATGCTGTCATTTTCATTGTTATTCTACAGGGTTTCCACTCACCTGTTGTGACGCCAATCTCGGAGACCTCTGTGTTGTTATCGAGCTGTATGGGAAATCTGGTAGCATTCAAGGCAGACAGAATGCCCTGAAATGTTACTGCATCAGATGCGTTCACTACAACATCAATGGTGTAATTCCTTTGGCTTGAAAGTGCTGCAAGGATTGAAATCAGAAAAGAAACAATGTGATAATTGTTCAAATAGGGTACACAGGATAGGCATACATTTAATTTTCTGATTAAACTTGACATAAAATATGAACTTGGGAAACACATTTGCACGCTTTCTTGAGTCGAATGAGAGGATCCATCCTTCTCTTATGTCTGGATGCTAAATAGCTGCATCCAGGAGTTCCAGGTTATCTAACCTCAACAACTTTTCTGAAAAAAGCCCCTACCAGCACCTCTAAAGCTCCCTCATTCACATCATCTTAAATTTGTCTGAGTTATATCAAAACCAAAGTGAGAACCAACAAGTTGTGGTTTGCACTGGACTATTTTTAGATGCAGTGAGTTTCTGGAGACTTTGTTGGCTGAAAAACCACCTCAAAGCAACAACAAAAACCCTTCCCAGACTGCAGACTGTATATAAAAGATGGCTGTAGCTTTGAAACCTGTATTCTGTCAATGACCAGCAGGGGGCGACTTCTCTGGCTCCATTGTATTGAAGTCAATTAGAAAATTATTCTAATTGTCACTCAATTTATGATGTCAGTGAACATTTTCTCAATAAGTTTATGGCTTCAGTTGGTAGTTTTAGAGTTTTTGACTACAACACAATGTGAATATTGTAAATTATGTCCCAAGTTAGAGCAAAACAGACAATAAAGCAGGGTACATCACTACAATATGGGCACGGGCAGAGTCAGAGCTGCCATCGAAGGTGCTGCCTGCTATTGGGAGCATCGTCGGGTTCAGTGTCTTGCCCAAGGACACTTCGACTGTGGAGGGGAGGGGATTGAACCACCAACCTTACAATTGGAGGACAACCGGCTCTACCACCTGAGCCACAGAGTCCTTTAGTTCTCCAGTCAGATCTGTTATGTTCTGTTTATAATGACCACAAAAGCAACAACTAAATTCCCAACTCAAAACACTGAAATGGTAGTCCACAGGCCAATGGGTGACGTCTTGGTTGCCATGTCCATCTTTTATATGCAGTCTATGCTCGCAACAGGGCATAACAAGTTTAAACTCGCATCCTTGAGGGGTTTGTCTTCTTCTGCATGTCCAGTTTATATCACTGGCATCATTGATTGGCTGTTTGTTCTGTTACAAAATTCAAGATACACATCACTGACACAAGATACTTAGTGAAATGTGAGTGTTCACCTTAAAGAAATTATTTTAAAGTCTTTTGAAGTTGTATGTACAGCCCTAAGTGGCTTAGGAACGGCCTACATCATAAATATTCTGCTACCCATTACGAGACCTTGGATCTTTTACTGCTTGTTTTCTAGTGACCCAAAACCACGCCAAAATTAAAATTAAAAAATACAACCTAGCGTTCTACTACTGTCACCTACCACGATATATGTGATGTTATTTTATTGGCACCTGCTTGCATTTCAGTGCTATTTATACTTACAGGTTGTTTTTCTTTTTTCTTGTACTTAGTTATAGCAAAATATAGTTTTAATTTGGTAGTAAAGTTTATCTTGAATGTTAAACTGCTGGTACAACACACCAAGTATTATTATTCAAACAGTTTGTTTTGTGAACAGGAACTGTCACAAACCATTTGTTCTTCCAGTTTTGTTATTCCCTCCAGTTTGCTTCATTATCTTACTACATTATCGTTCTATATTGTCTTTCTACCATTTTCTATGACACTGTGAACCTCTGCAGCTAGCCTATGTTAGCTTTGTAGAAAAAAAACTGAGCACATGGTTAAGCATGTCAACCAGCTAGCATCATCTCTGGTTCTTTAAGTAGTTTCAGTAGCATACTGTTAGCATGTACACGCTAAAAAAGTAACTCCACTTTGGGCACGCACACATTTAAATTGACTTTCCAATTCCTGTTCTTTGTCAGTTTTTGTTACCTATAGGTGTGGGTGTTCCATTCTTCCTGGTGAAGGTCCAGCAACAAGATGAGGGAGAGTCCAAAACTCCTTATAATAGGGGGTTCTCAGACTGTACCATGTTAGGTAGCGTGGATACATGCATGTTTTCAAGCACCCTTAACAGGATGCACTGTTAATAATCCAATATTGGAGCAGTGTAAATAATAATTAGAAAGTGTTGTGTGTTGTTTTTTTTCATAGGCATTTTAAGCACCAGTCTTAATTGATAATGAACCATAAATGGTTTGCTCCCAGTAGAAGGGGCTTCCAGCATATAAAACCAGTGAATAACTGGTCCTCAGGATGGTCTCACTGCAGGAATGTGCTGCTGAAGTTTCCAGGTAGAGGACTGCTGTTGTTTATTGTTCACTTTATGCTCTTTGGAGCCAGCTGTATTTATTATTTGTGTGGAGATTTTTTGTGCATAGTTTTGCATTTTGAACATAGTTTTGTGCTCTGAAGATCATCAAACCCAGTCGGAGCTGGTAGTTTGTGTCGCACGCTGTGACGTGTGAAATGTTGATATTCTTACAGGCAAATTTAAGACCCTACATTTTAGTATTTCATCATTTTGCTATTCTGAATTGTTGTCTCCTCATTGTACTTATAAATATATGACAACATTTCCTCACTACCTTAAACCTTCACTTATAAGATAATGTTCATAGGACATATTAATCTTTTTTTTCCTTCTGTTCTGTAAAGCATTTTATGTCATATTGCATTTGTGAAAAGTACAATAAATATAAAGTCTGACTAACTGATTTAATTGGTACCTAAACTTCCCTTATTTGTATATTTGTTTCTGCATTAACAAAACATAACTACAACGCTAAAGTTTAAAGACTACATGTGATTTTAATATTTCTATAAAAGCTGTTTTTTGCATTTAAGCGTTTAGCCGCACGTAATACATATATTTAAAGAAATTATATGTATTTAGTGTATCAACAGGGTTATGAACTCAAACAAAACAAGCTTACGGATTTGTGCAACTGAGATGAATAGCATCAGGAAAATAAAACATTGTTTTAATTAAAAAAAGCATCTGTGGCTTTCCTTTGACCAGACAAGTCATGTCAAGCTGTTCTCATCTCCTGGTGGTAGCTTCATAGTTCACAGACAGATATGAGATTGGTATAAATCCTCTGATCTGAGTCTTAGTGAGTAATTGCGTAAATGTATCACCCAACAAGTCAAATTATCAGAATTGAAAGTATCAAATTCCTATTTAGTGATCTTAGTTTATCAGACTAACCATTCCTTCTCTGCCGGGTGTGAGGTAGAAAGTCGTCTTCTTCATTGTGTTCCTTCGACAAAAGAAAAAAAATATTAATTCAAATAATTATTAACTAAAACTTCTTTTCATGCACGAGTCTCATATTTTCTGTGCAGTAGAGTAAATAATGAACGGCTTACCGGTAAAACAACACTTGAATATTCATTGAAGTTCCTTGTTTCCAAAATAAGTGTCACTGCGAGGGCAAAGATGACCAAGGCATTCTTAAATATTTCCATTCCTTTCAAGAAAGCCAGGGAAAAAAATGGGAAATTAATCCATCCAGTTTCACTTGAGAGTCAGTCAATAGAGGTACAAAGGTTCACATCGTTTTTTCCTCATTCCTTTAAATCCTTTCTTGCAACAACTCAGCGTTGCTTCACACAGAAAAAACAGACCTCTGCCTGTTTAAACCGTTTCAATTTAGTTTCTCAGGTGCTGATGTCAGTGAGAAGAATCAATGCAATGCAGTAACAAATTGAAAATTCGCCATTGCTGCTGCTGTTGTTACGAAATGTTGCACCGAAGTTGTCGAATTCAGCTGCAGGATTTTAGAATTGCCCAAAGTAGCGATACACAGTTTACAACAACAGTGAGTGCAATGTGCAAAATCCTTTAAGCATCAAATTGTGTCAATTTACAGTAATTGCATTACTTTGCTCATTGCTGGAGACTTTGGGTTCTTTGTGCTCGACTTCTCTCTTCAAAGAACCCTCAACGGTTTCGGTTGGAGTCAGGTCAGACGGCATACTTGTCCAAGTCATTGTTTGTACAGTTTTTTCTCTTTGGAAGCTCTCTGGTGATTTTGGCAACGCTTGAATAGTCTTCTTCTTCGGTCAAACTATGAGTCATCTTGTCAGCTTGTATTTTGGTGTATCCATGGTGCATCTACAAATGTCATCACCCCAATGCCTTTTGTACTCTTACGAACCCCATATCATCACACTCCCACCTCTGTTCTTCACTGTTGGGACTATGCATTCATCAGTCCTGGTCAGTTTCACAACAATCATGCTGGATCCCCTCAACACATTTCGAGGGGTCTGATACGACCACTCCCAGTATTTATCCTGCTCCTTTTCATGCATTTTAGCGAAGCTTACTCTTGCACCTCAGTGCCAAAGAGGAAGCAAGGGTTTATTTTTCTTTGATACCATCTTAAAAACTTCACATTGTGCAATATTTACAAAGCTTTACTGATAATCGCTGGTCGTGACTACTTCCCTGTTTGTTTTTCAGAGGAAGATTATGACGATAACACATCATTTGCGGTTTCAGTTTAGGAGGATGATGACTGCTCATCTTATGTGTTCATACAGTTGGGCTAACTGGAAAACAAAGGAGCACTCAACTTAGCATGAGCGATCGCAGGTTTATTTACTGTTGTTGCACTGAGGTTCTACTTTGGAGCCTGTATAGTCTTTCTAAATGATTTGCATTTGATTGTTCATAAGAGGGGCTGCAAGGTGGCGCAGTTGGTTAGCACTGTTGCCTCGCAGCAAGAAGGTTGCCGGTTCGCGTCCCGGTGGGGGCACCGGAATCTTTCTGCGTGGAGTTTGCATGTTCT